CATGTGTACATGAGACAGGAAACCCACTCCACAAGTAGCATTAAGCTGAGCAAATTCTACATGTGCCAGGAGGACATAAAGCTTCTTGTTACGGGTGGGACATTTTCGGTGCAATTGATTACTCCAAACAGCAATATATATAATATGAAGGGTCCTGGAGCTCAACCGCGTTAAACTTAGAGAACATCTGAGACAAATACAGATTGACAGAAATGAAAAGTTTTACTGTGGAATTTTCCGTTTTTGTCTCCTTGGAATTGCTCTTTTTTGGCCTGATTCACTCTATTAGTCTTTTGTCGGGATGGGGATTTCTGTTGCTGAGCTGTAAGTCCTCATGCATGGTTTGAAGGTAGTCATTCAGGCTTCTTTTGAATTTTCTATGGACAGAAACGTTGTGAATATTTACGGGAAGCGAGTTCCATATTTTTTTTTCTCTCTATGGGAATGACTGACGAAAGTGTTGTTCCAGAGGGAGTACATAGTTTTTTTTTTCTTTGGCAAAATGTGTTCTGCTGGTGAGTAGGAGCCATGAAAACTTTAAGGGTTTACGTTTGGATGTTAAGGATGGGGATGGCGTGTTCAGAATTTTGCGGCATGAGGTCGTGGTTTCAAGGCAAGACAATCAATACGATGTAAGTTAGGATTTTTTTTAAGTATTGCAGATGAGTGATGAGCTGGACATTTGTAGATTATTCTTTGACCTTTTTTTAATGTTAGAATTTATTTTATCCAAGATATGGAACGAGGAGCAAGTAACATATACTGGAAGACAATTTGTGATGTGGAGAAGAACAAGGGCATTTGCAAGTAATTTGAGTTTGTTAGTTGAGACCAGAGGAGATGAGGTACAGATTCTGATAGATTTTTTCATAAAGGAAATGCAATGATCCAAGAAAGGTACGCTTCTAGAGTTTTACTTTTTGCAGCAGTTTGATAGGTTCAGAATTAAATCCATGTAGATCTTTTATTGGAAATGATGCAAGCCGGTTGGGATGGGCTATGAGTATAGATTGGATCTTACTGACATATATGAGCATTTTATTTTTGTGAACCCAGTTTTGGAGGTTGTGAAGGAGAATCTCCTGAATAACTAGGGGAATCGGATGGGAAAAGTAAATTGTGGTGTCATCTGCATATACGAGGTTTGATCCAAAAATTATAGGACATGACTTACCATTTTTGTGGACTGGGGTCTGGGAGTTATTTGCGGGGGTCACTTTCAAAGTAGTCCCTTGGGAGTCCACACATCTCTGCCAGCAGTCCTGCAGCCTCTGGAAGCACCTCATAAAACCCTCCTCTATTGGAATGGCTAGAAGTTCAAGCGTCGCATTTGTTTGGATAGTCTGGAGGTCCTCAAATGTTCGGCCTTTCAAATGCATTTTCATATTGTGGAACCGGAAAAATCACACCGAGCCAAATTTGACGAATAAGACAGGTGTTCAAGCTCTGTGGTGTTGAAAATGCATCTGAAAGGCCAAAGATTTGAGGACATCCAAACTATCCAAACAAATGCGACGTGTGAACAACTAGCCTTTCTATAGGATGTCCCGCGAAATGTGAACACATTTGTTTATTCCATAATTTTGTTTATACATACAATATATATTTTATATATATATATATTTTTTTTTCAATGACCTTTTATTTACACAGCATGCCCTTTACAGAAAGAGGATACAAGGTGGGGACATTTGGAATATACAATTGGGGGTATTGAGATAATTGATGGTGCGTTGGGGTTGGAGCGAAGTCTTGGACTTGGGTGGGTCCGCGGCCAGCCATCAGGAGGTGTTTTCACCTCCTGGTGGCTGGTGGAGTCCGGGGGAGGTCTCTTGGAGGTGGGAGGTGTCCGGTAGGGGGTGGCTCCTCCTCCACTCCTTGGTGAGGTCCGCCGCGAAGCCCACAATAGCAACCGAATCACTGTTGAAGGTGACCTGTGGATGCAGGACCGTACCTAGGATTTCATTCCGGGGGCGGGGGTTGAGGTCTGGCGTATGCGCTGTGGCTATTTTTTTTAAATATTTGTCATTGTAAGTCTTTGTGACATATCTGGATTTTCCTGTAAGTTGCAGTGTTTAATAAGTCATAAGCTATTAAAGATAGAAAAGACCAAGTCTGCACCGTTTACACCAACGAACAGCAGTATGGCAAAAATTTAAGGAAGATTTTTCGGGGGGTTTGAACCCCATGAACCCCCCCCCCCTCCTAAATACGGCCTTGTGTGGATGAGAATCAGCAGCGGTGTGCCCCGTTTGGATCGCATTTTCTCAACGAAGCAGGCACACCGTCGCACTGAATAATGAGCAGCGCTTATGAATTATGTTTTCAATGCTTTTTAAGTTTACAAATGAATTTAAACGAGAGTTGCATTGCGTTTTCATTTCACTTTAATGAGCAGCCCAGGATGCTTATCCTATGAAGTTTTCCTATACCATGTACTGGATTTCTCTTCAGCCTGAAAATTGGGGGTCGCAAGCTTTTGGCTACCATGAAACGGGGTCGTGGACCCAAAAAGTTTGAGAACCGCTGATCTATATCAAAGCTTTTCTGAAATCTACAAGTGACATATCCTAAGTCCATGGCTTTTAAAGTGTTTGTCTGTGAAGTTGATGAGAGCTGAGCGCGTTGAATGATACTTCCTAAATCCTGATTGGTAGGGGGAGAAGATGTTGGCATCTTGAAGGAATTCATAACGGTGCTTGAAGAGATGCCTCTCAAGGATTTTGCTCATGGTTGGAAATGGAGATATGGGGACAGGAGTTGGAAGGGTCACAAGGGTTGCCCTTCTTATGGAGGGATTTTAAAACGCATGGGATAGTTGGAGGTGGATAGTATAAAATTAAAGAGGAGTTAGTTGTTGGACAAAGTTTCAAGCATTGCAGGAATACTTGAATGCTATGGGGGCGATATCATCAAGTCCACAAGTTTTATTTGGTAATTTAAGAGTGTATGCTAATGTTTCATCTCCAGAGATGGGAGGGATGTCAAAATTGGCTTGAGGAGAGTAACGATAGGATGTGGGGATGTTAGGGAGGTGCTTTACAAGGTTAAAGGCTGCTTGATTAAGGTGGGTCTTGAGTTCATTGGGAGACAAGGGGGAGCTACCTTGTCTGGTGGGACCCATGGAGAATTTAGAATTTAGTCTGTAACTGGTAAGAGTTGCTTGCACTATTCTTGATTGAATGTTGGTAGCAGGAGTACTTTCCATGTTTGTTGGTTGTTCTGACTGTAGCATGATAGTATTTAAATATATTCCAATAGTTAGGAGAATAAGTTTTAATTGCAAGTTTGTGGAAGTAATTTCACTCCTTTATTAATTGGTGGATGTTTTGTGTGATGAAGGGTTTCTGGTTTGTTAAGCTGTGTTTTGGAAATGCATATTTGGAATTGGTGCTTTTGATGAGGGAATGCATTTCAGTGTAATTTTTTCAGCTAGTTTATTATGGATTACGGTCTGGAGTGCAGCAGAGAGATTCCTGATGATAATTTTTTACATCTTCTATAAACTTAGAAGAGTTGAAATCAGAGTCTGTAGGTAACATAGGTTGGTGAGGTGGCAGCAGCTTGAACTTATGCTGTTGATTTTGAGCATCAAGAAATGCATCATTATTTATAAAATACTGAATATTCTTAGGGGTAAAGATAACCAGACAGTTTTGGTTTCAGAAAGAGCTTAGTCTACCCAAATGCTCCATAAAATGTCACAGTAAAAAATGATACATTTCCTTGTCATCCTTTCTATTGAATGACCCCATATCAATTAGATTTATATTGATTTTGAATCATCTGCAAGTCTATCCCATTTCTTGAGCAAGAAAGTGAAAACTATCAACAGAAGTGCTTGAAGCCATGTTGTCTCACCTTCTTTCATTCATGATGGGAGAACAATTTCAATAAGTAAAAGGCTCAGTATGCTGCTAAGGCTACCAATCCACTTTGCCCCAGGTTCCTACTTGCTCAGTTATTACTGCCCTTGTCCTGCTGACAGTTGCGAAACTGACACCATTCAGATTAAATTAGTACTTCGTTGAAAGTACTTTTCAATATTTCCTCCTCAGCGATCAAGACTTCAATAGAACATCAAGACATGTCTCTTGCTTGGTACCTCCCTAATCACAATCCATCCTCCTTTAGCAAGACAGTCTGGAATTTCCAACTGTAAGTATTTTTTAAATATTTCCCATTCTCGCACACTTCACTCAATAGGTATTCTCAAAATGTAAACTATCCATAAAAAGCATACCTTTTTTGCTAAGGCCTAATCACAACTGGGCCAGCCACTGGCTGAGATTAAATCCACACCTCCCCAGAGGTAGACAGACTCTCTGCCATTGGGCCATGCCATAGGTTCTACTTCAGAAATAATTTTTTCCATCCTGTTTCTCTCTGAATGTTAATCTCATATTGAAGGGCATTTAATGTGAGCAGTTTTTTCCTCTCCCACACCCAAAGTATCAAAAGACCAACTTTTTTTTTCAATGCATTTACTTACATTGGAGTGAACCAAGGAGGGGAAGCAAAGGCATAAAAATAACTCTCAGGGAGTGATTACCATACATCTATATAAAAAACATTTACAAGATAAACAATTGTCAAAATATCACAAGCACCTGTGACGATTTTCATTTTTCATGAGATGTGCAGCTCTTCAGGACACATCCTACAGCCATCAGGAAGTGTGCAGTCATGACAAAGCCTCTTACCTCTGTTATCACAGAGCTGCTCGACTACATACCAAGAGCAACCCATTCTCTGACCCTTTGAAACATGATCTAGCCCCATTTTCAACCTTGGGCCCCCATGTCTACAAGGAAGTGCATAGAAGACTCAAAAATAACCACAAGTGTAACATACAAAAGAAAACTTCCTCTGCCTCTATTCAGTAGTACAGAGGCACACGCAAAGCAACCATAAGGAATGTCTATTAATACACTTTTGGCTGAATGAACTGATACTGACGATCAGATCATTACAAATTGAAGCCAATCCACCACATCAGATCTGGTCTGTGATCAGCAATTAGCAGCATGATGAGATTCCACTCAACATAAGAGCCCCAAGCAAAAATCTTGCCTAGTTTCTTGATTGTGTAGAATCCTACCCTCTGCCAAATAACTCAAATTTCAATCTGATTGTTCAAATACCCTCAGTCAATGCAAGAGGTATCACACATCATAGACTGAAATTGCTATGAGAAAGCTGCAGAGTGGGTTTGGGATATAGACAAATTTCAAGATTCATTGCTGTTCAAGGCATATAATTACCAGACAGGCCTTGAGCATGGGGCTGTACATGGTAACTAAAAACAATTTTATACTCCTAAATGTGAAACCAACAGTGAGAGAGAAAAAGTTTGCTGGCCAGGACGCTTTCACACTATGATCATTTTGTTCTAATTCAATTCCTCCTGAGAGAAAAGGATGAATCCACCAAGGACATGACCAGTCAATACACCAGTAAAAATATAGCTGGTCTCAAGAAAAGCATCTAGAGGCAGAGGAAACATCACAATGCCAGCACACAGAATCTCAATGCTCATAAAGAGATGATTCTCATAGAATATGCCAGATCTTGAGACAATCCACAGAGAACCAAGTGCGGATACAGCATTAAACCCGAATATGAGGATATACAGAATATCATCCTGGATACCAGAGAACAGAATGGAAGATACAAGATACAGGATACAAGATGGGTTAAAGAAAGACACTGGCAGACCTATAACAGGGAAGCATTGTACTGCAAGTGAACAGCAAGTATGGTATTTCAGAACAAAAAGGGAAAACCTGAACACATTATACTTTTAGTTCTTCCTTATCCATAACAGTACTGTTTTCTTCCAGTACCAGAAATTAGAATATGGAAAATATAGAAGGTACAGCTCAAGTACAAGCAACTTGGCACAAAAAAAAACATAAGTAGAGCTTGTCTCCCTTAAAATGCACACTGAAGGCTGTTGCCAAATTCAAGACTCTTCATCATGCAGGGTGTTTCATGCAGATCAATCTCCCCAGACATGCACAATTGGAATGAATGGATTCTGTCCCCTCCCATTCCTTGGATCACAACTGAGCTTCACATGGGTCCTTCAATGAAGCTCACTTTCATGGTGCAGTAGTAGAGGAATCTGATGAGAGCCAACACTGCCACGATGAATGCCCCTAAAGGAGATCAAATTCAACAATACTATCTGTCATAGCATCTGAACATACCAATGAGAAGGGTATGATATGGACTCACCAATATACACCAGGTAGATACCACCATGCTTGAGTGCACTTTGATAGGTCCCAAGCTGAAACAATGGGGATAGGTTGAAGTGATGTAGTCTACTTTCTGTATGCAATAAATCAAGTGCATCACATATATAGTGTATGGTAAAAAAAAAATGACGAACAACTTTTAACCCTTTGGATGTCATGCTCTCCAGTGGAGAATTGTAGCATATCACCCCATGCCCACAAAATGGCTGCCTGGCATCCAAAGGGTGCCTCTAAATCTCTGCTCTCCCTGGAGCGATTTTCATGAAACTTTTACTATGAATAGATGGATATCTTTCCAACATACTTTCAGAATTTCTTTTAAATTTATTGCTCCAAGGTGAGGCTATGAGCAACGATTAAGAAATAGTTAGATAATGAAAATGAGCAAGAGCTCATGATGGAATTGAGGACATGCCTTGGATGATATGCAGAGAAAAGTCCTGTTTGCATATCACCCAGGCTACATCCAACTTTTCTTCCATTGAAATTCAGTTTTTAGGCTTGCCTTTTTTCACAGGTAGTTTGTGAAGCTTTATTCCAATCATAGACTATGAATGAATAAGAATCAAAGCACAGAGCTAACTCAAAGTTTATTAAGATATAGAGTAAGATATATTCTTGCCTTACTTAAGAGAGCATGGCAGGAGGATGAGGCACTAAGTAGGAATTAGGAGTCACCTGTCCATTTTAAAATTCATATTTCTTTGAAACATTTGTGAATTGTATTTTTTTTGCTCATCGGCACAAACAACTTGGAAGAAATTTAGGATGCCTGTTGGGAACATATCAATTTAACCATAACACAAGTTTAAACTTGTATTTTGACCAATCTGCTGGACAAAAGATGGTTTATTTATTGATTTTTTTAAATATCAAGAGTGTCAGTGACAAAAGTCAAAAGTACCAGAGGTTGAAAATCACTGTCCTAAGGCAGCAATTCCCAAATTTATTTTTAATTACAACCTATTTGGCAACAAACATTTTTTGGGACCAACCCCCATTCAAAATTAAGGCTTATAAAATACAAATTTGTATTTGACATGGAATTTCTTTTATCGGGGAGAGGGCTTTGGATAGTTCCTCTTTTATATAATGCTCCCCTATCTCAGTGTTGAGAAACACTTAGGTTGGGGTGCTGAGACAAAGTCCTGAGCTCTTGGCTGATCCTGTGACTACTGGGTGTAGACCTCAAAAACTCTTTTCTTAGGCATAAATCCATGCAGCCACATCCACAGAATCATACATATCTTCCTGAGATTTTCTGCTGTGCTTCCTTCATTCCAATCCTGAGGCAGCTGGAATATGCTGAATTCAGGTTTTTTCCCAGCAGGAATTTTTTCTGGTTTTGTTAACTGTATTTTAACAGCTCCTGTAGTAAGATTGTAGCAAAAAAAGCTAACAGTAAGTTCCACTGGAAAGTTCAAGTTGGAAATCTGCCTGAACTTTGCATAATATCCCAATTGGAACAGGACTGAATTTCTAACTGTGGTATAGCTGCAATTTTAAGTTGAGTCTGGTGTATCATGTACCCACTAGCCTTTACAGACACAGCTGAATCTAGATGGCCTCTATCTGATATGTGTAAATATGAACACATCAGAAAGAGATCAAATTTTAAAATAACAAATTATCCCTGATAATTTTTTGCTCTATGATACATTTCTCATGATCCACCTTGAAGCCTCTCACAACCCACTAGGGATCTGGGGAGTTGTAACAGAGTTTGGAAATCACTACTCTAAGGTTATCATCCCCTTAACTATCAGCATTTACATTGGGTAAATTACTATAATTCATTAGTTGAAAGTGATTAGATATACCTACCAATCAGAAGCTCCTGCTGCTAGATCAAAAAGTTTTGGCATTTCTTTAGTTGTATAAAAGGGAAGACTTGTTTTGGTTAACTTCCCTGAATTTAACATGTTTGACCCAGCAATCCATAATCTTTTTCAGCTCCTCACAGAGCCCATTTTTCTGGATGCCATGGCGACTGCTACATGGACTTCAAAGAGTGTATTTTAGTGTTCTCCTCAAAGCTAATTTTTTTGTGACTAGAAACATATGGAAGTCACAAGGATCCATGACTGGTGAATACAGGGAGTGATAAAGACCATGGCATTGAAGGACCTCAAGAAAGATTGGCTCAGTGAGTGACTGAAAAAGATCAAGGATCACAGGGCCAAGTGTATTCATTTCATGGAGATTACTTCAAGTAATTAAGTAAATCGTGTGATCATTGCAGAATGCTTCAAGTCTGTCAGTGCTGCTATCCCTTAAAAATACTTAAAAGTTCTTTGGGTGGAGTCCCCAATACTAAAGGGTTGAAAATGATGACATACCGTGACTCCCAAGCCAATCCCAAGGAATATCAGTCCAATTATTAGAAACAGAATGCCTCGGTTACGGGATCCATCTGGGCCAACTGAAGACCTGTTGAGTGGGAGAGGAAGTTTTCATCAGGGACCACATTATACGGCATTACCTTATCGGAGATGTTCCTATTCTAAATGTAAACTATAAAAAAAAAGTGAAATTGACAGCTTTATATGGAATGCAATCAGTACAGCAGAGCTAGAGCTGGCTAGGAATCAGTAGAGCAGTAGAAGAAAAGAAGCTCCTTGAAAAGTGTAGGTCACTTATCAAGCAAACACATTTTTTATGGTTCTCAAGAGTAAACTATGGATATTGATCTTGTAGCTGGTCTAAATGATGCATCCTGACTCTGAATATAATTTTCAATGCCTATAATCCTCACTAAGGGGGGAAATCAATATCTCAGAAATGTCCAAAACAGGAAATGGGTCCTAATAATGATTGGCAGAAGGAATAATTCTGCAGGACCAACATTGTCAAGGAGACTTCAGCAGAGAGATGTAAGACATCATTATGAATTTCTGATGAGAGCAAGCAGACAGCACAACATCCCTGGTTCTCTGAATGCTTCTTTCCATGCACTCATACACTCATGGAATACATGGAGCCTCTAACCCTATGTGTGCAGTCAGGGAGTGGTTGGAAGCATATGATGTAATGGGAATGCCCAATCGTAACAAGGCAACTGACGCAAACATGCAATGACCTCATCAACTCATACATGAAAATGCTGAGTGTGGACTGATCATTAAGAAAATGTTCAGCTGAATAAACCTACTGACAGTCCAATGTAGTTCCTTTCCATTTGCAACTTAAAATTTTTATCTACTTCTGGGTGATCAGAACCATTATTTAGTTGGTATTCACGAACAAGAATTGACTTATGTGAAATTAACAAAGGCTAAAGCTAATTGTTATCAAGTCAGATACTCATCAATGAAAAATCTGTTAATGCCCAGCTTCTGCTGATTCTCATTGATGAATGGGGCAAACATTGACTTTCGCTTTATAAATTCTGAATTAAGCTAATGTTAGTTTGTAAATATCACCTATTATCCCATAAAGAATGATGGTGTGGTAGCATTCCTATCCAAATGGGCCTGCCACACATAAGAAATGACAAGGCCTCTGTTATTATTAACATACTGAAACCAAATAACAAAATCTATTGTCACAAAAGGTGAGTCTAACAGTAAGTTTGCTATGCTTTCAATAACAATCCCAAATGCTAATTTTTTAAGAAAGAGATAAAATAGGAAAACTACTTACACTTTTCTGCAGTGTGGGCATCGGGCAAGAACAGTATTCAGGGTATTCAACTGGAAAAAAGGAAAATTATGAAGTAATATTAATGATCATAATAGAAAGCACAAAATACATTATTGGTTATAACATTGGTGCCAAAGAATTCTGAATGCTAGGCTATGATGGGAACTTGCTAGTTGAGGTTTTCAACACAGTAGAGAATGTGCTGACAACACCTCAATGTACAAGTCCCAAGGAGCCTTTACAAATATTGGTATCAAACTCCCAAAGCTTTTGAACTTTAATTTCATTAACTTACCATTTAACTTTTACAGTGCCATCAGGCTGATTGGGTCAATGGCACCTGCTGGCCATCAGGCCAATAGCACTGAAACAGTTAACACTATTTTCAGCCAACTGCAGACTTGTGTGCAGCGTATGCCAAATATTTTGGGGTGGTCAAATCCAGTATTGACTGATGCAGCTATTAGAGAAGGCAATTAAGGACCTAGTTTGAAATGACTGGAACAATTTTTTTCCTTTTCTTCAAGGGACTTTCTGTGGTAAAGTTATGTATGACAAAAGTTGACCTGTTCTGAACAAGGTACTCCCAAGAATTTTGCATAATATGATGTTCCAGGATTGATTCTATACTACACATGAGGATGTCAGGATTTCAATGTGCAACCTTGCACTTGCAAGTGATTGGTGGACAATTCTTAGCATTCTCATTCTCAATCTAACAGATCCCGATGACATTTAGATATATTCCTGCACATAATACCTTTGAGGGTTTCACCACAGATTTCAGACAAAGGCCCATCTGCAAAAATCAATATCATGCCAGGGGAAATTTGAATTTTTGGATACTGATTAGCTCATAGAACTCTGGGTGACTGTTCCAATCTGACCATCTTATTTCTTCTCCAATATACAAAAAATTCAGGATTTAATAGATTTTCTCAGTTCATGAACTGCACTTGTCAAATAACAGATGTTAAATACAGTTTATTTGAGTTTCAGTTTGGTTCTGCATTAGCTTTTGTGTATAGGCATCCTGAAAAACAACTGACTTCCACTCATGCTTTAATGCGGAAGACTTCATATGCAATGAACCCACCAAGAAAGAATCACGGCAGTGTGCACATGTTACTCGGCACATCCCAGGCATTGTAGGAAGAGAAGATGGCAAGGGCGGAGGAGCAAGATTGATGATACGCTTGCAATGAGGCCGTGGGCAAGCAATTCGCTGAGATGTGGCCTTGCAGATGAGTAGACAATTGCATGGGCATCTGACATACTTCTTACCAGGTGGAGCATTCTTGATTGGCTAAAAGTTAGAACCCAAAATCAGCATTGAAACTCACAGAATGATGCAGGATTGTGCTTTTTGATTATTTCTTTTGTCTGCACCTCCATATAAGCCAGAAAAAGTAATGTAAATCAGCCATATATGAGGCTAGATAGATTTTAAGGCTTATAGATAACTAAAACCAAAAGCTAAAATATCGGCAGTTCCTTCAAACATGATAAAGGATCTTGTAAATATTTATTGTGCATTGTTAATTTATCATAGGCCTAGTCAACATACCCAATTTGATCAAAAACATCTATGAAATATGAAACTTACAGTTGCTTCATGGCAATGGGTGCATTTGACAACATGCTGCTCTTTCTTGCTGGATATATCAATCAGAGCCTGGCACACACGGCAGGTGACCACATTCATGCCAGGCTCAGATGTGGCTGAACCATAAGGGGGAGGGAACTCATCTCCTCCTGTTTCAGGTGGGGCACCTTGAATTAATGACAAATAAGAATGCTAAACTGTGTGCATGGACATATTTTCAAATGCAGTTACTCTACTTCAAATATGCACCGGAATGGAGACAGGAATTCACAATAAAAGGGAATATATGTGCCTTCCTTGAATATAGTGTTGGTAGGTCTTATAGAAGCTATTTTCATGCCAATCTATAGGATAATTAAGGGGTAGAGAGGTCTTAACAAAAAAAAAGGAGGTAAAACTTACTTGGGGTAATGATATCATGACGGAGGAGAGGAGTCCTCTCAGAGTCATCAGACATTGTTCTGGAAATTGCAAGGAATGGGAAAGATTCCCTCACTTCCAAGAAAGATGTTCTGAATTCTTAACTATAGAGGGGGAAAATGTATGCATCTCAGGACTACACGATATACTAATATTAGACCCAACTGAAGAGCTCAACTGCTCGATAAGCCAAAAGGGTTTTGTAAGTTCCCATGAAAGGGCCATTAATAATTGAAGGAGTGAATTTTTTTAAATGGGATTTCTATCCTAGTTAGCATAATTTCTTTAAAGAGTAGCAATAGTTTTCTACATCCCATATATCCTATTCAATCTCTCCAGATTTGCATGTCCATGTTATCAATGTTCACACAGTGTTGGGCCAAAATACCTTTCAAAGTATTTGAAATACAAATACAAAATAACATTTATTTCAAATACTGTATTTTAAGTACTTGAAATACATTGAGTCCATACTGGTGGGAGAAATCCATCCATTACAAAAATAAACAAATTTGCTGGGCTCTAATCACAAAAATTTCTTTTACAGATTCATGCCTTTCAAAGAGTTCCTTTTGGCAGAAAGCAGGAAGATTGGTATTCTTCTCTGCAGACAATTAAGAGGGCATAACACATACATTAAAAAAGTATTAATACTAACACTTTAAGAAGCCAAGTATAAACAAGGGTACATACGTTTTGCCTTCAGCTAACATTAGGGAAAGATTAACACCTCTGCATTAGCATATCCTTAGACCAATGCCAGCTAGGTTCAAGGCTTACTCTCTCATAAGTTCTAAAAAGATAGATAAACTTAGGCCTACTCACAGGTAACTTGCTGTTAGGCCACAAACACCTAAATTCGTGAAAAATATTCCTTTCTCCTATTATCACAAAAGTAATCAGCCTTCAAGATCATCAAATTCATCAACATCCAAATAAATCATAATGCTGTGACACACAGGAAAAGCCATCATCAATGTTCATATCAGTAAGTGTGCAGGGGGTAAATTTGAAGAGTTCAGAATGCAAATGCATTCTTTGATTATTGGTAAATCCACTGTATTTAAAGTATTTTAAAATACAAAATACAGACAGAAAAGTATTTTAAATACAAATACAATATAAAAGGTCTGATTTGTATTTCTCATACAAATACAAGGATACATCAAAGTATTTGAAAAAGTATTCCAATACTTTTATTTGAAATACAACCTAACACTAGTATCATGTGTACCCACATGAAAATTCCATGTATGACAGGGTGTATGATTCTGTATAGTCATGTATGATCATATATTTGCCATATACCACCATATATGTATTCATATATTAACAATTGGATGATGCATAATATATTTTACCTGCATTGCAATATTATGTAAGATGGGCAAATGGCATCATGCCTGATATGTGGTGAATATGCATAGACAAGTCTTATGGTTATAAGTAAAACACAGCATGAGGTAGTGGTGTATTTTGGTTGAAGAGTCAGGCAGGACAGAGCAGCAGAGTGGAGGCACCAAGCCCTGTCCTAGGGATGCCAGCTGCACTCCCCTGCCCCCTCCCTAGAAAATACGCCACTGCATGAGGTTGTTACACATGAGGGCAATTGACCTTCAGATGCCTCTGCAACTTATTTTTAATGCACCTATTGTATTTTACATGAAAAGTGCCCTCCCCTTACCCAAGTAATCATCTCTCACAAGAGAGTTTTGTACGTCCCCAAATGTCTCACCTTGCCTCATTGTAGCAATCAATAAACTTCAACAGTTCCTTCTTCGTCATCCCCATCTTCCAGATAGAATCATTGAGTCCCGTGAAGAATTATGCCCTTATTCCTTTTGAAAACCACGTAAGAAAATGAGTGGACCCTTACGGAAATGTCCTATAAGAAATCTATAGTTATTTCTTATAGGAAACCTATAGACTTTTCTATAGGTTTTTGAAACACGAAAAACCTATGGGATCCCTATAGGTCTCCCGACCTTCAGGATTCGGGGAGGATATTTTGGGTTTTGAAACCCAGGCATTACGACGGAAAAGGCGACCGTGGTTAACATTGGCACAGCATTTCGGTGTAAATCAAAAACCGATTAGGGTTTATAACCGATTAGGGGGTTTTTCCATGGTGGGGAGACATGCATTATTAAAACCAGTACTGCGGAGACCTGCATAATTTATGACCCCGCCCCACATTTGTCGCTGGATTGCACGTCTACTTCCTTCGGGAGAGAAAAGTATCATTATTCTCTTGACCGAAGGAAATAGAAAACAAAAAATGCGAGGACGTCTCTTTACTGAAACTCCATTTCGATAGAGTCTATCTCAATTTTTATTTATTTATTTTTTTAATTATAAAAATAGGAGCTAAATGTATGGTGGGCCCCCGCATGTGGTGGAGCAACACATGACTCCCGCCCACCATGGTGAGATCCTCCCAACATCAGGGCTGGCAGAGTGCAAGACCCTGGTGGAGCTGAAGTCGTAGCCATGGGAAGGTGTCCCATGGCTTAAGTGCGTCGACGTGTCTGGAAACCAGTTCCGTCTTCGCGCCTGGATCCCTCCCGTTTTCAGGTTTTAGCTTTTGCATTTTAGATATATCCAAAGACAGAGCGGCCTTTTACTGAGGATCAACCTATACTTTAATAGGTTAGTGAGTCGGGGCTGGTTAACTTTAGGTCCACTTGTTCAAGAGGTTAAGAGATTTATGCCCTAGCAATTACGTGAATTTATTTTAGTGCAGGGGTGCCCTAGGAGGTGGTCCGCAGGCCATCGCTTTGGGCACCCTTGGTCTCGTGTATTTACGTTTTTTAATTGAACATTAACATTTACATCCTATCGGAAGTGAGTTAGGGGATAGAAGCCCCATTGGAAGGAAAGATGTTTCCAGGTGCCAGCTGGCCGGAAGGGCCTTATCAGGCGCCCTGGTGACAAGCGATTGGGCGGGGGGTTATGAGAGGTCTGTGCAGAGCTATTCCTAAGGTTCATGCAAAAGGGAAGTGAAAGGTGATGTCTGATTAGGCCGCAAAGTAAGGAGTGGGAAAAGATCTGAATTTTTTTTTTTGCTGATAAAGAGAGTGTAGGTGGAGCTCGCGCGGCAGAAAAAAAGCACTGCCGTCGCAAGATATTGTTAAGAGGCGTTAGAAAGAGGAAGAAGGCAAGGGATCTGCGGGGTGGAAAGGGTCATGCAGGGGTTGCGCTAGGTTTCTTGCCGTAGGGGTCCCCAGGACCCTCATGTCTAATATTGATAGATCCCCTGATAATTCAGGAGGTTACTTTCCAAGCGAAGCACATGGGAATCTTGAAGGGTTCCCCTAAAAGGAAAAGTCCAACAATCCATGTGTATTTGCTGACTTAACAGAACAGAGCAATATGATATTTAATCCAGCTGTCTTGGGCCTTCTGCCTGTGCATCCCAGGGGTCCCAGGACCCCCAGGATGTATGGACAGGAGGCCATGACAAGAATCCTAGCGCAACCCCTGGTCTTATATGAAATTTTCATGTGGGTAGTACTTATAAAATATAATTTAAATGACTATCAACAAATTTTGGGAAATTTCATGCTAAGACTATCTGGGTGCCTGGGTGCCAGAACCTGGGGTTCAGGGGTCTTAAACCCCTACAATACAATAAGGTACTGGGTACAAGAGGATCTGGACCCATAACTGCATCCTGATTCTAAAAAACCAGCTACAGTGTTCTTCACATGTCTTGGACACTCATGCATGAGGGACATCCCATGCACAGGTGTCCAAGTTAAGTGAAAATTTGTCTGACTCAAGTAAAAAATATTGTAACCCACCCTTTCATCTAACCCCTCCAATAATATCAGCTAACACAAGCAATCTTGAGAGATTCAATTTGGCCTGTGTGGTTACTCCAGGTAAATGTTACCTGAGTTTGGACTTCACTGGCAGGGATTATTAATGTCCTACCTCCTGAGACATGAGTTCCAAGTGCTCAGGGGTCTACCTTTCCAAGCACATCCAGGCTTGCACTCAAAAACAAAGATATGACTTGGTTAGATACAAACCCAGGTCCTTTGCCATGGGAATCAGGGGAATGCCTTACCAACTGAGCCACTCACCTGCCCCTAAATGAAAAGCCAACCCTGCCAAGCTCCTATGATAAAGCACTGAACTCTATCAGGCCCAACAACATCAGACATGGGTTAGAGATGACAGTCTGCCCAGACATTAAGCCCAGAGGGATTACATTGGGAGAGGAGGGGAGGGACACACAAGGCCTTGAGCTTCAGTGATTCTACACCTAAGGGTTCCAGTGGGATGAGTAACTTGGTTAAAAGTACCATTAGAGCATTCCTGGAAAAATGCCAGATGTTTTAATAAAAGGCACAAGCATATCAGCTATACTTGCAGTAACCACTAAGTTGATGTTGCATTACTCTTCACAATGTATCTGTCAAATGTTTTACCATGAAAAAGCATTGGCTAGATGGTCACAGGTTAGATGGCTGCCTTCTTGTGTGAAATGGTCAAAATAAGCAGCCATGTTATGCTGTTTTTTTATTCTTGGGATAAACTTTACAAATACTATGAAATGAGTATCACTTCCATTCTAACTCCCATTCTCTTCACTCTCTCAGGTGCATTTGCTACACTTATAAATGTACTTCCAATTTACTTCAGAGAAATCTCTAAGTCATAGTCCTAAGCCTAGTTAAGGTGGTGCACCAATTTCAAAGGCATGGAGCTAAACTAGCAGTTTTTACACAGTTTGGTGGTCTTAGAACCCAATGGTTTTGGTCTCAACATCAGAATGGCATTATTTTCTGCTGTTCCATCAATGCTCATCATAAGACTGATAAGTATGCTAATGGATGGTTTCTTCTGATGAATATATCCAAGATGCCTTGGCATCAGCAACTTGTTCAAATCACAAGTCTTTCAAATAGGCATGCTAAAAATTAATGCTCCAAAACTAGCTACTTTGGCATAGTTCCTCCAATAGGATTGGACAAGACACATTAAGCACAGCCACATCTTACTTTCATTACAAATGTGCCATTCTCATTCTATAAACAAATGTAAAAATTGAAAGCACATCCACATCAAGATACCATAGCATGGGCTATGCTTGCAAGCCTGAAAGGTTCATTCAAGG